GTTACGGTATCTCCTATTCTGCCCTGGCCTATTCGCATTTCCTGTATCCTCCAATCACGCTTTCACTATCACAATATTTTACTTGCTTAATTAAATGTGGTACGATTTGCTATTTTGAGCGGCTTTCATGAGAACGCTCTGCACTCCACGCCGGCCTTCTCATCGCCCTTCATCCTTTTGCTGGGAATGTTGATCGAAGTTTTCCATATTGTTACACAGTCCTCCTTCCCTAGGTCTTACCACAGTCTCTCTCTTGCCCCGTTAGATCCAACCCACAAACGTTGTGGTTTAACATTGAACCGAGTCAAAGAAAGCATAACCACAACGTTTCTGGGTTGACACACAAGAGGCTAGGGTATGAGAAGTCATAGACTTGGTATTAGAGATAGAAACAGGATAAACGCGGCCGCGATTGGAGCTAGTAGGCTGACAGAGACGTGGTCCATGTGGCAAAGGCCTGACTATGCCACTTACTTAGATGCCTAAGTATCTACTTAGTCACCCAGACGTAGGGTAGGGCCAATAACGCCTCAAGTTGGCACAGATGGGGTGGCAGGGGTCGAGGAGTCACCCAGACCCAGGGTAGGGCTAATAACACCTCAAGTTGGCCCAGATGGGGTGGCAGGGGTCGAGTGTACCAGAGTGAGAGCAGACGAATCTTACGGGGCAAGAGAGAGACTATGGTAAGACCTAGGGAAGGAGGAGTGCGTAACAATATAGCAGATTCCCATCACAAGGATGAAGGGCGGTGAGAAGGCCAGCGTAGAGTGCGAAGAGTTCTCATGAAGCCGCTAAAAATAGGGCACACTGACCACATTTAATTAAGTAAAATATTGTGACAGTGAATGCGGGATTGGAGGAGATAGGAAATGTGAATAGGCCATGGCAGAAGGGGAGAAATCATAACTGTTTGCTCAAAGGATCGGCTTCACTTGTCTCTTTGGCGAGTTGTAATATACTGCTACGAATGGTAAAACTCACTGACGATGCCGGCAGAACGATTCGGAATGTACCGCGTCCACGGTCCGACTTTGGAAATAATTATGCATACAATGGACTCAGGACAAGGTGCGTGTCTGTGAATGTACCACGTCCACGGTCCGACTTTGGAAATAATTATGCATACAATGGACTCAGGACAAGGTGCGTTGATGTACCACGTCCACGGTCCGACTCTGGAAATAATTATGCATACAATGGACTCAGGACAAGGTGCGTTTCCTAAGTCTTCCTACCATTATGACCAAGTTGCGAAAACAAGGTCAAACTAATTCAACACCTTAGATTTAATTAGGGCTTATATAATTAAATATGGACCTATTTATTTTTATTTTTTAATTGCATAAGTATTAAGTTTGAGTATTTGACTATCTTCGACTTTGATTCCGATTTTTTTTCTTGCTATATACAGGGATAATTATTAGAAATTTCACTGCTTTACGTCTGTATTATGTTAGATTCACAATAGTTGCACATATTTAATATTTTTTTACTTTGATCTGAAATCGGCAATTATGGTTTCTACCCAATCAGTAGAAATGTTATCTTTTTTCCGTCATTTGTCTTTATTTATCCGTGAATTTTAATCTTCATTGTATTCTAAGAAGTTGTAATTATAATATTCTGCCTATGATAAGGTAATTTCAATATACCCTTGTCATATTATTTAATGTGGCACGAATTCAACCTATAAAATATCCGTGTCATCAACTTTATGCATCAATGCATATTTACCTTGTGTCTACTGCTAGACTCACTTATTGTTTTATTTTGTGTTTCTTTCGATTTGGCCTTCTTCAAGTTCTTCCGAATCACTTTTCAATTGGGTTTTACCCTACATATTTCATATGTATTAAGGCATTATCACTTTTTAGAGTCGACTTTAATTCTTTCACAAAAGTTCTTGTCTTTATTTTGTCACTTGAAATTCTGTCTGTTATATTCACTTCCTTATTTTGTTCAAAAAGCTGACAGACAACTTAAAGTCCTCGTAGAATTACTCCAACAGGTCCATGACGATAACTAATTATTTGAAATGAAAGCTATGATGTGAATAATTTAAGTCCAGCTTTAGTTTGGTTGGTGATGTCTTTCTCAAGATACTTGCAAACCTTTAAGGTTATCTTGTCGCTTTCGTGAGATTTATTTTATGACTTTAATAATTTGCTTTTCCGGTAATGAGTCAGAACATATTTTCTCGATTAAAACCAAATGATGATGTCCATCATATGATGGACGAAAGCTCAGCCAGTTTTCACCCGAAACGAGGGAGGAAATATCGTAAACTTCGTCAGCCTGAACATCGTGTAAAAGCCAAACGGCTGCAGTGCAACGAGATTCATCTGTTTTCATCTGGTGAGATCAACCAATGAATCCTTTCTTCATGCACTTTCATGCGAAATGAAAGTCCCCTAAACCATATATATTTCCTATATGAACACCAGACATATGAACCTTGTCTGTGCTAAATAATGTTCTATATTTAAGGATATTCGATAGATTATCATATCTGAGCAATATGTCCTCATTTCTCGTAGTTTGTGTGAATTTATTGCACTTGTCAAAATCATCAATATAATAACTGCCATATTGTTGATATAGCACATACCTATATTCGCAATAGTACTGATTTCCTAATCGTTTGCGGCATTAAAATATCTGAGAGCTCTTGATTTTAACCATTTTCCTATGCCTCTTTTCGTATAGCGCCGCTTTAAAGGATAAAAGACCTTTAGTTTGAGGATTTTGCCTCATCTTGAGTTTCATTTTATTATATACTGTGTGGCTTTCTTTTGCTGAGTATCAGGCTTATGATATCCCTTAAATTTGAACCTTATATTGTTATTGAATTTCATCATCATTTTTGTAGCTATAACCAGGTTATTGCAAAGATTCCGTTGCCTTTAAACTCATTATAATATCTGATTTTCACTGCTCGGCATCCCGTAATTTTTTATAAATATCATTATTTACAATTCTTCTTTCAATAAATTATGCGTCACTAACATTTTCTGGTCCCCTGGCCCAGAAGAAAAAATCCCTCTATAATTTATTAAATATCCCCATCCTGAAAATAAGATGGCATAACTTTGTGTCAAATAAACAAACTGCTATCCAATACTCAGTTTAAAATCGCTGGTTGATGGCCCGATCCCATTTGTCTACCTTTCAAAATTAAAGAAAATTGAGCAACTATCCTTAATATTCATCTATTTATAAGCATAAGGTATGGTTGTATCCTATTGACCTGTGAATTGAAGGTACAATGTCAAATGTCATATTTTTATGCGCTATTTATTCTACTTACATGTTACGACGGCCTCTCAAATTATACATATTTTCATTCAATTAGTTGAATTATCCCTGATCTTCTTTCTTGCAGGCATATTTGGCTACACTACAATATCTTCCTGATCGAGAGATCAGATGCTTTGAACGCCTTGTAATTCTCCAAGATGACTGCTATTTACGCTTAGAGGTAACTGATTATTGATTTCTCTTGTGAAATAATTTAAAGCTTTAGTATAATTCAGTTTACATTTCATTCTGGCTTTTGGGGCGATACTATATCAGATATTGCTAAGTTCCCTAATATTCACATTACATTAACACTTCAAAGGGACATGAAAGTTCATAGTCTTTTTTCATTCCAGATTTTTAGTCACCATTCTTGCAAGTGGTCAAGGATAAACAAAAAATTAATTTACAACATTGTAATAGAAGGTATGAAGACCAAGATAGTGTGTCCATTTGTGTGGTCGCAGTCTCCTTTCGTTTTATAGAAATTGTTTGACCATGTTTTTCGCAACTCGGTCATATTGGTAGGAAGACTTAGAGGAACGCACCTTGTACGGAGTCCATTGTATGCATCATCATTTTCAGAGTAGGACCGTGGACATGGTACATTCCCAGACGTTTCGCCGATATCCTAGTCGGCATCGTCAGTGAGTCTCGCCATTCGTAGCACAATATTACAACCCGTCAGAGACAAGTGAAGCCGATCCTTTGACCAAATGTGTGCTAAACAGTTGTGGTATATGCCCTTCTGCCCTGGGCTATTCACATTTCCTATATCCTCCTATCATGCCTTCCCTGTCACAATTTTTTTAC